GCAGGGAGCATATTTATGCCTCTCCAACATCCTATTCTATTCATCACTATTTGTGTGGCAAAGATAAGTAAGTGGTAGAATAAGGATACACTGGAAAAAAAACAAAAACCTGCAAAACTGCAAATCTCTGCTCTCATGAATTTTACATTCTCTCGTTCTCCTGAAGCCCACTCTGCCTGTGGATTCACATACATGTGCAAGAAATTTGACCTTGTTTCTTAGTGGAGGTGGGAGCTTAGGTGCCCCAGCCAGCTACTGTTGACACCCAAGGGGCGGAGCTCCTCATTACTGATGGGTGGGGTGTGAGTTCTGCTTTCACGTGGTCTCACCTTCACCACAAAGGGGCGGGGGGCATTGCTGCTGGATTGACTCCCCTCTAGATCTTCTCCGACACTGCACCAGGGGGGAGATGGAGGGACACCTTGAGACTGCCAGGTTGGGGTGAAAGTCCAGGATTCCAGCCTGGTCTCCACTGCCACCTGAGGTGGAGGGACCGTGAGTAGCCTTGTTACAGACCCATGTAGGTGGAAGTCCCAGCTCTCTGCTTTGCTATGAAACCACTGTGGAGAGGATGCAGGGGCACCTTCTTATAGCATCTCCTTAAACCTTTGTCTAGTTAGCCTTTGCTGGTATGGATTGGGGTTGGACTGTGGCTTTCTTCTGTGGTGTTGGTTTGAGGTATTATTCTCTAAAAGTTTTCTGTCTTGTCAGGCTGCCTCTTTGCTATAGAGAGCAGAGTTTTTATGAGACTTTTTTTGGTCAACGCCTGTTGGTGTTTTAGAGTTGCCAGTTTCTACAAATCCAAGTCAGGAACACATGAGACAACAAGAAAACTCAAAGAATTTTCCACTGTATTGTTCTTCAGGATCTGAAGTTCTTACTTGGTCTGTTTTCTGCTCTCCACTTTTGGAATCATCTTATGTTCATTTTATATATAACTAGAGGCCTGATGCATGAAACTCGTGCACCTGGGGGGGTGGGGTGGAATGGGGTCCTTCAGCCTGGCCTGCACCCTCTCATAGTCAGGAGCCCTCGGGGGAAGTCCGACTGATGGCTTAGGTCAGCTCCCCGCGGGCCTAAGCCATTAGTTGGACATCCTTAGCGCTGTTGTGGAGGTGGGAGAGACTCCTGCCACTGCCACTGCGCTCACCAGCTGTGAACCTGGTTCAGGACTTCTGGTTGAGCAGTGCTCCCCTTGTGGGAGCACACTGACCACCAGGGAGCAGCTCCTGCATTGAACATCTACCCCCTGGTGGTCAGTGTGCATCATAGCGATCAGTCATTCCACTGTTCGGTCAGTTTACATATTAGTCTTTTATTATATAGGATGTCCAGAGTTTTTAGTTGTTCTTACTGGGAGGAACAGAGGATATATGCCTACTCCATTACAACAGAAGTTCAAGTTCCAGGATGCTTCTTTTTAAATATATCTAATTTATGAGTTAATGTTGACTTTAAAACAGAATAAACATGAATATTGTAATTATGAGGATTCATATACTCTGACATTAACAATTAATATCTATAATGACAACTTTAGGTACTTTCAGTAGGATGCACATGATCAAATTAGGGCTCCTTTTAGCTATCAAGTATGTGGTAGATTGAAATTCAACATTTTATTTCAAATTGTAAATGATTGCTTGCCCAGGAAAAATTACTAACATCTATTTTTCTAAAAGTACCATTTTGTTTTGAATGCAATTGTTGCTTTTAGTAACATTCAATATAAAACACTGAGTATGAAAAATGTTCTTCTGTTTTAAATAAACTATGATTTTAATGCCGATGGTGATGAGCCCTTGTATCTGTAACAAAGGAGGAAGAAAAAGCATTATAAAAGATGTTAAGTATTTTCTTAACTCTCACTTTAAATGACTAAAGATCAGTTTAACAGACTGTGAATTAGTAAATCCTGTCCTGGCCGGTGTGGTTCAGTTGGTTGATGTCAGACTATGTACCAAAAGGCCTCAGGTTCCATGTGCTGTCAGGGCACATGCCCAGGTTTCTGGTCTAATCCTCAGTGCATGTGGGAGGCAACTGATTGATGTTTCTCTCTCTCTCTCCCTCCCTTCCTTTCTCTCTCTAAATGTATATACATATATATTAGAGGCCTGGTGCACAAATTTGTACACCAGTGGGGTTTCTTGGCTTGGCTTACAGGATCAGGCTAAAACTGGCTCTCCAACAATCCCTGTGGGGTTCTGGATTGTGAGAGGGCACAGGCCAGGCTGAGGGACCCCACTAGTGCACAACTGGGGCTGGGGAGGGACACAGAAGGTTGGCCAGCTGGGGAGGGACTGGGGGAAGGCTCCAGGGTGTGTCCAGACATCTTGCTCAGTCCTGATTGGCCAGACCTCGGCAGCAAGCTAACCTACGAATCAGAGAGTCTGCCCCCTGGTGGTCAGTGCATGTCATAGTGAGCAGTTGAGTGGCCTTAGCATATTATGCTTCGATTGGTTGAATGGCCAACCGGACGACCGGACACTTAGCATATTAGGCTTTTATTATATACGATACTAAACAAATTTGTGCCTAGCTTAAAGTGGCCACATTTTTGGAATAAAATATCTTGAGAAGCTGTAGTTTACATAATGCTTATGTTCTTGAAAAGGCTATCTCAGTAAAAGGGCCACATATGCATAGAAGAAAACAAAAATGTATTTGTTCAAGTAAAAAGGGTAAAAAGAGTGATTTGAAATGTTCTGTTTGATATTTAAATCAAATTTCTCTGAGTCAAATTTATAGTCCTGAAACTTGCTTGCAGCTTGCCCCATATTTTCTAGGATTTAAGTCAAAGAAAATAACTATTCAACTGAAAATACAGCCAGAAAGAAACAACACCCAAACAACTTGAATGTTTCCTGACTTTCTGGAAAATGAAAGGAGAAGTCAATTTTCCATCCCTGCTTACTCAGATGACTCATCTGTTTTCATTTAATTCTCCTTTGATGATATGTGAGACTTTATGGCTCACTTTTAGTGTGGCTACTTCTAACTCCGAATCTGCACTGTGTTAACCTTATAGTTAAATTCTGTTGTGTATACCCCCCCACAATTAGTTTTTTATTCTCTTTTTTCATGAAAACAAATTATTAAAATAAATGTGGGCATTGAGCTATGAATAATATCCAATAATCTCCAAAACTATATTCATCTGATTATTTATTGAGATACCCTTTATATTATAAACTAGTGGCCTGGTGCACGAAATTCATGCATGGGGTGGTGTCCCTCAGCCCGGCTTGCACCCTCTCTAGTCTGGGACCCCTCAGGGGATGTCTGACTGCCGGTTTATCCCTGTGGGATTGGGCCTAAACTGGCAGTCGGACATCCTTCTTGCAAGCCAGGACCGCTGGCTCTCAACTGTTCGCCTGCCTGCCTCATTGCCCCTAATCACTTCGTCTTCCTGCCTGATTGTCCCTAACTGCTTGGCTGCCTAGAAAATAATAAACTCATAATTTTCAGGGATAATACACATTTTTTCACTAAAATTAGTTCTTATGATTGATATCCTTCATTTCAGTTTAACCTGCCAGTCTATCATTTTGTGTCATTTAAAACCAAAATTATTAATGATCTCTAATTGTACTTCCTATGGCTAATAATATAAACATCTTTCAATTTTTAATGTTCAGTGCATAATGTAAGTAAAATATGAAAAGGCTTGTTTTTCCACTTTCCTTAAATAAGCATTCTAGAGAATAAGTGTATTTGCAGACTGAAATGAAAGATTTTAGATTTACAAAAGGTTGTGTTATAGGGAGTTTGCCACTTAGATAAACTGGTAAGTTTCATCATCTCACTTGATTTAAGAATCTCTAAGTCCCTAACTGAAAACTGAACTGCAAAGCTCTGGACAACATTATTGTTAATAAACCTATAGAACACATAGTGCTCAGCATTCTTTTTCTAGAGAAATAGGCGATCACTCCCAGAAAATTGTGGTTGCTTAAAATATATTTACAAGTTTTTGATACCGCCCTTAAAGAGCTAGAGATTAACTTTTCTCTCCTTGAGTGAGAGTTGGTGACTTGCTTTTAACCAACAGAATATGATGGGACTGATCATGAGTGACACCTGAGGCTAGATCATAGAAGGCATTGTGGTTTCCCTCTTGCTTGCTTTCTGGAATCACTCGCTCTTTGGGAAGCCAGTCGACATGCTGTGAAGACACTCAAGCACCTGTATGGAGAGAGCCCTCTGGTGAGGAGCTGAGGAGTCCTCGCATCAGCCATGTAGAAACTGAGGCCCCTGCCAATACAATGTGAGTGGGCCATCTTGGAGGTGGATCCTCTATCCCAGTGAAATCTTCAGGTGACAACATCTTTGCCTGATGTCTTCACTGCAATCTCATAAGAGGCTCTGTTCTGAGCCAGTGACTTCCCAAGATTTCACAGTAATTTTTCAGTAGACTAAATTTAGTCTTCTAGTCCATTGTCTTTTCTATTATTTTTTTGATTTCAGAGAGGAAGGGAGAGAGAGATAGAAACTGCCATGATGAGAGAGAATCATTTATTTCTACCTCCTACACTTGGGATCTAGCCCACAACTCACGCATGTGCCCTGACTGGGAATCAAACCCTGACCTCCTGGTTCATAGGTCAATGCTCAACCACTGAGCCATGCTGGTTGAACCCATTGTCTTTCTGTGTGCCATAACTGACACATTGCAGGAGAATTAATAAAATACTCTAGGGAATTTACCATCTGTTTATTAATTTTTCTAATTATATTATACATATTACCTAGTTGTATTAAAATGTTGTGGCATGGGATTTTTTCTTTAGGCAAATCCAGTAAAAGTAAGATTATCCTAAAATCTTATACATTGATGGATATTGGATTTTGATTCAGATGAAGGACTATTTCAAATAGCTTGATGCCAAACCTTTAATTTTCAGTTATATGAGAAGGTAAAATAGTGCAAGTTTGTATCATGGCTTAAAAAAAGATTACGAGAATGTTTTTCACTGTTTATGTTTTGTTCATTTCTGCAGCTGGAGTCTGGTGGCACCATTACTACAGAAGAGCAGATTGTTCTTGTGCTGAAAGCTAAAGTAGAGTGTGAACTCAACATCACAGCTCAGCTCCAGGAAGGAGGTAAGGATGCTAAGAAAACTGTGTCGTCCTCATGCCCCTACCCCAGTCCTCACCAAGATTGCAAATTTCCCTGATTTAATATTAGGAGACCCTCATTAGTCATTCTGTTCCCATGTGGAGGGTTGTGTAGCAGAATAAGGCTCTTTTCACCTCTTTAACTCACTAGCTTTTCCCTCCCTGTGGGAGGAGTAACTGATATGTGAGTTTGGGAATATTGACTGCCTATCAGCCTGTTCCTTTGACCTCACTGGGATCTGTCTGCCTAGAGCATGCATGGTGGTTTATCTGTGATCATACAGTAAGCTTCAAGGAGTAGGGTCTGTCCTTGTGGGTATTACCTGCAGTTTTTGGTAGTATGTAAAATTCAGAGGAGCCAGTGAGCAAGCCCATTTACATGTGCCTAGGCCATGTTCTCCAAAAAGCCTTTTTCATAATAAAGTGATTCTTTGATCTCCATCTGCCTGACTCCTTATGTAGCTTCTCAAATACAGGTAGTTCCGAATTCAAATGGGAAGGGAACTACTACTACTAAGCTCCCTGAACTCCCAACAATCTGAAGACAGCAGATAATGTCCTTAAAGCTATGCCCCCTAAAAAACATGTGGTTTGATATCTGCTTCATTCTAGTCTCCAAATATTAAAAAAATTTTGTGATTGATTTTTCAGTTGGTTATTATCAAAGAAACGTGGTCTGCACGATACTAATTTCTAGAAATGTGTTGCAACTTGATGGCTGATAATGTGGTCAATTTTGATAAATGTTCCATGTGGTCTTCAGAGGCGTGTGATTCTCCATATGAGCACATTACTTCACAGTGTCCACTAGGTTATCGGTTGTATTGTTCATGTATTCTGTGTCCATGATTTTTCATCAGCTTGACCTATTCTTGTCTGAGGTTTATATATTAAAATCTCTTACTATGATGGGGAAATTTTTGCTTCATCTATTTTGAAAATGTTATTCAGTATATACAAGTTAAGAAATATTATATTTCCTGGTAAGTGGGAAGCAGCCCTCTTTACTGCTAGTGTACTTTTGCTTTAAATATCAAATACTATATAATATAGCCCTGGCCAGTGTGGCTCATTTGGTTGGAGTGTCCTCCCATAAACCAAAGGGTTGTTGATTCAATTCCTGGTCAGGGCACATACCCAGGTTGTGGGTTCAATCTTGGTTGGGGTGCATACAGGAGGCAACCGTCCATGTTTCTCACATCAATGTTTCTCTCTCTCTCTCTCAAATCAATAAACATATCTTTGTTGAGGATTAAAAAATGTATAATATGAAATCATTATATTAAAAGTAACAATACTTAATAAAGAACATTTGTTTCTTTCTCTCTTGGTAGGTATTTGCCTGGCATATCTTTTTCCATTCTTTATAAATGTCTTTGATTATAAAATACACATAACATTAAATTTATCATCTAAAACATTTTTAAGTACACAGTTGTACAACAAATCATCTTGCAAAAATTGATACTTTATGTCCATTAAACAACTCCCTCTCTTTTCACATTCTTTTGTTAAACTTTTCTGTGTACTTATGTTTGGTGATATCTTTTATAAACAAGACACATATGGACTTTTTTTAAATCTATTCTGATGATCTTTGTCTATTAACTGAAGTATTTAGTCCAATTACATTGTGATTATTAATATACAATACTTGAATTTAATTATGCTTATTTTTTGTTTTGCTGTTTTAATCTTTATTGTTGAGATTATTACAGATGTCCCCTCCATTACCCCCCTCCTCTCAGTTCCCGCCCCACTCCAGGCCTTCACTATGCTATTGTCTGTGTTCATAGGTAACGCATATCCTATATAATAAAAGCCTAATATTCGAATTGTCCCCTTGACTGGGAGTTCAACCAGAGGGCGGGGCCAGCTGGCCAACCACCTGTGGTCCCTCCCCCCAGCTTGCCCCGCTCCCAATTGGCCCCACCACCTCAATTGGGGGTGGGACAGGCCGGCCAACTGCCCACAGCCCCTCCTCCCAGCCGGCCAGGCCCAATTGGCCCCGATTGGACTGGGCCCGCCAGACCTCACCCATGCACAAATTCATGCACTGGGCCTCTAGTGTGCATATAAGATTTTTGTTTAATCTCTTCCTGCCCCCTACCCACCTTTCATCTGAGAATCATCAGTCTGTTCCATTACCATGCCTCTGATTCTATTTTATTCACCAATTTATTCTGTTCATTAGATTTCTTGTTTATTTTGATTTTTAGATTCAATTATTGGTAGATATGTATGCTTTTCTCTTGCTGCTTTTAAGATTCTCTCTGTCTTTAGCTTTTGGCATTTTAATTATGATGTGTCTTGGTGTGGTCCTCTTTGGGTTCTTTTTGTTTGGGACTCTCTGTGCTTCCTGGACTTGTAAGTCTATTTCTTTTACCAGGTAGGGGAAGTTTTCTGTCATTATTTCTTCAAATAGGTTTTCAATGTCTTGGCTTTTCTCTTCTTCTGGCACCCTTATAATATGAATGTTGGCATGCTTGAAGTTGTCCCAGAGGCTCCTTACACTATCTTCATTTTTTTGGTATCTTTTTTCTTTTTGCTGTTCTGGTTGGGTGTTTTTTGCTTCCTCATATTTCAAATTGTTGATTTGATTCTCAGAATCCTTTACTCAACTGTTGAATCCCTATATATTATTCTTTATTTCAGTCAGTGTATGCTTAATTTCTGACTGGTCCTTTTCAATTTTTTTGGAGGTTTCTAGCAGATTCTTGAGTAACCTTAAAACTGTGGTCTTGAACTCTATATCCAGTAGTTTGCTTTCTTCCATTTGTGACATGTTTCCTTGTCTCAGCATTTTGGCTGCTTCCCTTTGTTTATTTCTATGTATTGGGTAGAGCTGCTATGTCTCCTTGAGTTGATAGAATGGGCTTGTGTAGTGGGTGTTCTATAGGGCCCAGTGGCTCAACCTCCCCAGTCACCTGAACTGGGCACTCTAGATGCACCCCTTTGTGGCCTGTGTGTACAGTCTTGTGGTAGTTGAGACTTGATTGCTGTTGGAGGCATTGAGAGGAATTGACCTCCAGGCCAGTTGGTCCTCGGTGAGGACCAATTGTGACTGCAGTGGGAGAGCTGCTGTGCAGGAAACACCCCTATGGAGCAGGACTTGCTTCAGTGGGGCTTTGGTGCTCACTGAGTCTGCCCCTTGAGTGTGTCACTTATGGATGTGTAGAGTTGTAATCTGGTATGGTCTGACACTGACCACTGGGTACATTGGCTCTTGGGTTTCTAGGGAGGTGCAAAGTCACCCATCAGGAGCTACAGAGAGATTTGCAGATTCTTCCTCTTTGTATCGGGTTTGCAAGTGCCCAGATGAGGCCCAGCTGTGAAATAAGGCAGGCTGGGGCTGGTGCTGGGTCTTGGGCCTTTTATTGATAGGCTTGGGGCTCTCTGACCCAGCTGCAGCTTGTTTGAGAGGTTTTATCCTGAGCAAGGACAGGCTATTTATATGCAAAAGCTGCTGCACACAGGTTGGGTGGGGTTTTAAATTGGATGAGGCAGGGTCTTTGGGAATCACCAGGATGGAGCAAACAGAAATGGCTGCCAGTCAGCCCTGGGACTGGGGAGGTCCCAGCATAGGAACAATGATCCCTGCGAGCACCTTTGTCTGGGAGAAAGCTGCCCCCGAGTTCCTGTCCTGATGCCAGAGAATCCAGTTCCTCTTTGTATGTGTCTCTGTCCCCCAGAGCTTTGCCGTGGTGCTGGAGCTCAGAGGAAGCAGGACTTGTAAGTTCAGTTCGTGGTGTCAGCCTTTTAAGAGGAACAGCTGGGTCTCCAGCAGCCTTTGTGTCACTGAGCCCTAATATGCACTGGTTTTTACAGCCTATAGTTATGGGGATTTCTCTTCCCAGCTCTGGGACCCTGGGCCGGGGGTCTGGTATGGGGCTTGGACCCCTTGCTACTCCAGGCAGCCTGGTGCTTACTGAGTCTGCCCCTTGAGTGTGTCGCTTATGGATGTATAGAGTTGTAATCAGATATGGTCTGAGATGATCTCCCTCCCAGTTAAAAAAGCAGCTCAGGTGGGTGCCGGACCAGCTGGTTCCGTGCCTCTGAACTTTCTACCAGTCTCAGTATGCTTTCTTCTTTACTTTTTTAGTTGTAGGATTTCCATTCAGCCAGCTTTCCAATGGTTCCGGATGATGGTTGTTCGTATTTTATTTGTAATTTTGATGTGGTTGTGGGAGGCGGTGAGTACAAGCGTTTATCTATGCCACCATCTTCCTTTTCCCCCTGATTATACTTATTTAATTCACCTTATTTGAGCTTTTTATTTAACCAGCTTTTCCTCCCTTCCACTCCTCACCTCCACCTTCTTTTGGCTTCTTTTGAATTGATTGAGACTTTTTTCCTTATTTCATCTGTCCTTCCTCTACTAGTTTGGAAGATATAGATTATATTTAATTATTTTAGTGATTAACCTAGAAAAGCCTCAAATGCAATGCTTGCTAACCCTATAGAATACTTTCTGGCCTCAGATTTATTCTTTTAATTCACAGCCAGCTAAGCTAAGCCATGTTTTAAGAAAGAATGTGTTTATATTAATTCAGCCTTTGTAGGGGTGTTGCACAAGGAAGCAGTTGTCTGAATGGCCAGACCAATAATGTCACAAAGGAGACTCACTCATCCTTCCTTTGAAGAACACTGAAGGAATGACAACCGGGAAGGAATTTATAAGGAAACTTTGAGGCTGAACGAACTCTTTGCTCTGAAGTCTCATGAAATTTTGAGCTGGAAGATGTCTCAGTCCAGCATTATCATCGTCAGTGTCCCTTTAACAGTTTGACAAATACGTTATGTGTCCACAGTTCGTTGCTTCTGTACTAAGTACTGAAAAAGTGAATCAGATTCTATCCTTACCCCTGGACAAGGATACTGTTCAGTATGGTGTTATTAACAACAGAGGCAACAAAATTTGGAATCCCTAGAAAGGCAGCTTAATTCATTGGGGAGGGGTTGGAGGAGGCCCCCTGAAGGAATAGTCATCTTACCTTAAAATGAAAGGAACAGGAATTCGATGTGTAGAGGAGGAAGTAAGACATTCCTGGTGGAGGGAAGAGGACAATTAAAGACAAGCCACACAGTACAGGAGTTACACATAAAAAGAGTAAGTATTCTGGATTTAAACTTATATAACATCTAAAATTTATGAAGATGTGAAACATATGACCTTGCTGCATTCATTTTAGAGGGACAACTGGTTACAAGAATGCAAGAATGCATTTTCAGCTTCAATTTTTGTAGATTGCAGGATACGTATCTTCCTGGTGAAGGGTTGGGCAGTGCAGATGAATAAGGATGCATGGTTTGTTAAACACAGTAAAGGGATGGGAGGCCATGTGGAATGCTATCAAGATAAAGAAGAGCGTTTAGGGCAGAGTTGATGGACGAGATGGATTCATTACACTCTGTAAATGAGAAAACAAGCAAACAGCAGGGAGTGGTGGAAAGAGGCAGGTAAGCTGTGTCTCAGAAGCAGGACCCAGTGGGCTGAGCTCCCGGGTGGGTGGCCTGTGATATTGAAAGCCCAGGCTTTTTATTACGTGGACGAAGTGAGACTGTTTCCTGGAAAAGGCTCTCTTTGATAAGAACAGCGGGGGGGCGAGGGAGGGCGTTTTATTTCTTTTCATCGCTTCAGCAATTCACAAAGCAAGTCAGGTATTTGTTTCTGTGTGATGTAGTGGACCCTAGACGTTAATTTCAGGTTTGTGCTGGAATCTGTTGTGTAGAGATCAAACGTTTGTGTGAGGTTCTGTTATGCTGACTGTTCAAAACCGAACAAACACACTTGACGTCATGAACATTACTGAGAAAAACATCCTCAGCTAGAGTTAGTGTCATTGATTACTGAAACATTGAGAGCTGTAATGGATAGCACCTGTGGTAACAGAATAATGCCCCCTCCCCCAAAGATGGCCACTCCCCAGTATCTGGTGTTAGGCCTGTATATGTCATGGCACAGGATAAAGGTGCATCGCGGGTGGAATTAAGGTTTTGGGCCTTAAAATAGGCAGATCATCCTGGATTGTTTGGATGGGCCCAGTGTAGTCACTTTTTCTTTTAATATATTTTATTGATTTTTTACAGAGAGGAAGGGAGAGAGATAGAGAGTTAGAAACATCGATAAGAGAGAGAAACATCAATCAGCTGTCTCCTGCACATCTCCCACTGGGGATGTGCCCGCAACCAAGGTACATGCCCTTGACCGGAATCGAACCTGGGACCTTTCTGTCTGCAGGCCAACACTCTATCCACTGAGCCAAACCAGTTTCGGTAATGTAGTCACTTTTAAGGAGACCTTAACAGTGGCCAAGGAAGGCAGGAGAGTCACAGAGAAGGAGAGTGGAGGAGAGACCTGAACTGTGACAAGGACCCAACCTGCTCTGCTCACTTTGAAGATGGAAGAAGGGACCATGAGCTAAGAAATGCACATGGCTGCTAGAAACTGGGAACAGCCCTTGGCTGACAGCCAGCAAGGACACGGGGACCTCAGTCCTCCAACGGCAAGGAACTGAATTCTGCCAACAGTGGAAGTGAGCAAGGAGACAGATTCTCCCCAGCGCCCCCAGGAAGGAACGCAGCCCTGCCCAGACCTTGATGTTGGCCTTGTGAATCTGTACGCAGAGACCCAGCCAAGCTTGCTGGACGTCTGAGTTATAGAAATAGTGAGATCATAAACTTGGGTTATTTGAAAACACTAAATATGTTGTAGTGTGTGAAGGTGGCAATAGAAAACGAAAACAGCAATTAAAAAAAAATCTAGGGTAAAAAATATAGCTACAATTATGCTAGTTGGAAGAATTTTACTACAGAAGTTCACAATGAATTCTAATGTTTCTCATATATTAATTGCTATAACTCATTAATATTGGAATCACTAAAATATTTTAATATATGCGAATCAAATGTTCCTATCAATGGTCCCTGGATGAGGCTAAGTGGATGAATTTTGGGATATTTGTACCCTATCTACTTCATTCTAGTTTCCAAAATTACTAGTTTGTTTTATATTTTGCTACAGGCAGTGGCTTGAAATTTTGCATTTTGAATGAATTTACTCTCTGGTTCTCACTGCATTTTTGTTTATGTGCTTTTTAATTTCTTTTTTCATCAGAGGGAAATTGTTTTCCAGAATGGGATGGACTCATTTGTTGGCCCAGAGGAACAGTGGGGAAAATCTTGGCTGTTCCCTGCCCTCCTTATATTTATGACTTCAATCATAAAGGTATTGGGTTTTTCTGAAGTGGGTAATTTGGAACAAAATTTACCATTTTATTTTTGTAACGGACTCTAAGAGACCTGGGCACTCTCACTGTTTTTCTTCCTGTCTTTACAGGAGTGGCTTTGCGACGCTGTAACCCCAATGGAACATGGGATTTTATACACAGTTTAAATAAAACCTGGTCTAATTATTCAGATTGCCTTCGCTTTCTTCGGCCTGATACCAGCCCAGGGAAGGTAGTGGTAATTTTGTGTTGTCCTTTTTGTGAACCCCTGAGGGGAAGCAGAATAATGATTTTTATGCAGTCTTTGATTGTCAACCATTATATGGAAAAACCCTTTTATTCCTAAGACTACAAAGATCATAAAAGGTAAAAACAAGGTTGTAATCTTTTCAGATACCTGGTTAAGGAAAGGTATTTTCTTTAAGTTAGAGCTACTTGGCTGAGACATATACAGACATATGTGTAAATATGTGTCTCTGTGTGTATTGTTGCATTACATTATGTTTACATTATGTATTAAGATTTAAAGAGGTAATCAGTGACACGATGAATGATTTCTCTTGATTACCTGTAAATGGCTGCATCTCATCTCACTCTGTATTCCAGGAGGACCTTTGTATTTTAGAGATTATTTTTCCATTTCCTAAGATTTGCCAGCGGTTGATTCGTCAATGTGTGAAAGATTAGAGTTGTAGAACTACAGAGGCCTGGGGCATCCTATAAGTCTTCCAGCATAATACCAAATTTTACACAGAACCAGAGATGACACAGCTCACTGAGGGCAGGCCCTAAAGCAGAGCCCTGATCTGCAAATCCCTCAGCAGTGCTGTTTCTAGGATAGTAATTGTTTGTAAATTTTGAAATTTCTGGGTAGTTAGTTACTTTTAAGTTATACATGGTGCTTTAAAAGTCATACTTAGCCCAACCGGGATGGCTCAGTGGTTGAGCGTGGACCCACGAACCAGGAAGTCATGGTTTGATTCCTGATCAGGGCTCACATGCCTGGGTTGTGGACTCGATCCCCACTAGGGGGCATGCAGGAGGCAGCAAATTGATGTTCTCTCTAATCGATGTTTCTGTCTTTCTATTCCTCTCCTTTCCCCTCTCTCTAAAATAAATGAAAATATATTTTTTAAAAAGTCATGCTTAAACTCCTATTACTCAGACCTCGTGTGAAAAATGCGTGATGACAAAATTATAGAGCTAGAAAATAGATTCATGGTTGCCAGGTGTTCGGGATGGTGAGGAGGAGGAGGGTAGGCCTGACTGTAAAGGGACAGCATGAGGGAGATCTTTGTGGTGATGGAATCATTTCCTGTCGTGATTGCCTTGATGGTTATTAAAATTTACTTATGTGTTAAAATGACATAGAACTAGAAATACACAAGTTGCACCAACGTCAAATTCCTGGTGTTGATATTTTGGTCTAATTATGTTAGATGTAAACCCTGGAGGATCTTGGGTGAAGGGTATATTTGACCTTTCTTACTATTGTTTCCACTTCTTTTGAATTTATAACTTTTTTTTTGAACCATATATGAGTGTTTATTCCTATAATGCCAGCAGTATGGGAGAGCAACAGGTCATCCACAAAAATCTGCTTTGCAGCCCCCTATAAACCAGCTGCTTATCTGTGGTAAAACAAAGATTACCTGGGGAAGTAGGGATTACAGACATGGAGAAGTAGGAGGCTGGGGTGAGACTCCATTGTTTGGGCAACAAAGTTGCTAATCTTTCCATGATAATAGGCTGTTCTTGAATGAGAATGGACCACATTCCAAGGCTAATGCCCTGGTCCA